TCTGAATTTGGTGGCAGTGTTTAAAAAAAAAATTAAATCATATAATTTTATAATCTGCATAAAAGTTTATTTATAAAAGAACTAATTTTTAAGTGCAAAAAATAATTGTTCTTTTCCTGCATCTTCTTTTTACAAATTCACTGTTATATATTTTTCTACAAATAATTTTTAAAATATGACACATTCATATTGTAAGAATAAGTCAAAAAGCAGAAGTCGTTATAACCATCATTCTAATAGTTATCAATCCTATGATATGATTTTATAAGTAATCAGTCTGAAAATCATCACTCTAGATCCAAAAGTCCTTATTCTAAAAATAATCAGTCTGAAAGTCATCATTTTAGATTTAAAAGTCTTTATTCTAAAAGTAATCAGCCTAAAAGTTATTACTCTAGATCTAAAAGTCTTTATTCCAGAAGCAATCAATCTGAAAGCTATTATTTTAGATCTAAAAATCCTTATTCTAAAAGTAATCGGCCTAAAAGTTATTACTCTAGATTCAAAAGTCTTTATTCCAGAAGCAATTAGTCTGAAAGCTATTATTCTAGATCCAAAAGTCCTTATTCTAGAAGCAATCAGTCTAAAAGCTATTATTCTAGATCTAAAAGTTTTTATTTTAGAAGTACTCAGTCTTAAAATAATAAATTAATGTCTACAAGTTCTTATTTTAAAAATTATCAGTCTAAAAATCATTATCCAAGTTCAAAAAGTTCTTATTTCAGAAGCAATCGGTCTAAAAATAACATACCCATATCTACAAGTTCTAGAAGTGATCTGTCTGAAAGTCATCGTCCCAGATTCAAAAGTCTTTATTCTAAAAATTATCAATCTAAAAATTATTATTGCATATCCAAGAGCTCTCATTTTAGAAATTATAGATCTGAAAATCATCATTTCAGATCTAGAAGTCCTTGTTATAAAAATTATTGGTCTGAAAATCACTCTAGCAAAGGATATAAAATTAATTAGTTATTAATTCGATTTATTTATACATATATTAACAATTCTTATTCATATAACTATAGATTTCAATCGAATTTATATATAAAATCTTCAAAGTTAACTGTATTAGAAAAAGCTCTAGTTTTAGTTTAAAAACAACCAAATAAAGATATAGTTTATCAAGAATAACTAGACAAAAATCTAGTTCATTATGAATAAATAGACAAAGAGGTTTACAGAGAGCTAGATGACATTTTAGTTCTAGTTCACTAAAAACTAGAAGTTCGAGTTTTTCTAAATACAATCAAGATGATAGCATATGACCAAAATATTTATTTATGACCGATCTATTTAAAGATCTTAAAAAAGCTTTGAGGGTAAATATATATCAAATTAAAATTTGTATCAGATTAAATTTAAATACTAAATTTTAATAGAAGGTATTAACAGCATGATAAATATCTTAATTGATGCAGATATTAATTTAATACACAATATATATATATTAATAATATAAATTTTTTAATATGTAGCGTCAAATATTTTGGATCATTGAAAGAATACCAGAAAAAAGTCAACTAAGCTTAGACAAGACATTTAAAGATCAGCTTAATTTTGTGAACTGTACAATAGTGCCTGTTGTTATGAAAGCATTAAATTTGACTATATTTCTAATATCCGAAGATATAGTATACTATATGATCTATACTAGACATAAAAACCAATAAGAGAAATATAAAAGAAAGTGGCAACTAGTAGCTAACCAGAATAAAATGAAGAGGCAAAGATATTTTTATAGTTGAAAAAAAATGTAAGTAGTAAAACAATTCTATTTAATTATTTTTATCTTTACTATTTTTGTTATATTTTGAAATTATAGAAAAGAATAAACCAAACCAATATGATCGAGCATTTAATAAAAATTGAAGATCTATTGATTAAAATGTTCAATAAAAATGAACTTCGATTAATAAAAAAAAGATCTGTATATTATTTACCTGAGGCTTTGAAGACAGCTTAAGAAAATTCCTCTGGTAAAAGGAAGGTTATCATAAAAAATTTGAAATAGTGTTCGACTATAGTAAGATTATTATTATTGAATTTAAATGTGTATAAGATTTAAAAAAAAAAATTAATTTTATATTTATATTGCAGCTATGATCTTTTTTATATGATTATATTAACCGTATATTCATTAAGTCCTTCAAAGTTCTAAAAAGACAAAGTCGTATTTATAATACAAACTTTTATAATAAAGAACAAAGAGCTTCATTTAAAGCTCCAGAATAGATGATTAGTAAGTATAATAGATCATTAAAAATGGCAGTACAAAAGGCCTACAAACAATATTCAAATAGCAATTTCTCGACACAGCTATTTATATTCAAAGCAAAAACAGCTAATACTTTTTCTATATAACTATCTAATGCAACTAAAACATCTTCTTTAACCAAATTATCTAATAATAAAATGTTATCAAAATCTTAGAGCATTAATAATTTTGTAATATATCTAAGCAAATTATTAATATTATCATACATATATAGTTATTTATAACAATTCTAGAAAATATAACAGATCAGCTAAAATGCTATACATAGCTATAAATGCTATCTGCTTAGATATTCTTGCTATATGTAGATATACAATATAAAAGTTTTTAATTATACAATATTATTATTATTTTTTTTTAATATCAAAGTGATCTTATAGTCAGTTGCCTTTATTAGTTTTTGTACTAAACCGATCAAAGTCAGCTATTACTTATTTGGTATATGGTTTTAGAGAGTACAACTAGCTATACGTACAATTTTTGGTTGTTTATTTAAGTAGTCCACCCGAAGTTTCTACACTAGATGTCATACCTATAATCCAACTAGAAGATTATCTATTTAAACCCTCTGCGCCATCATATCCTTTATGAGGAACCAATACCTGCCATAGGAAGTACCTGACCTAGAGCTAATTTATCCTTGAGGTAAACTTGCTAGAGCTTTTCATACCCACAATCTGGCTAATCTAGACTTTGGTAACTTACGCTCGAGTCTGAAAACAAGTACTTGCGAGCTGAGGCTGCTACTATTACCTACTTCTGCCCTTGTAAAGTTTACCTAAACCCTAGTACACACTTTACAGACTATCACCGATTTTAATCTCAACAATCCCAAACTACCAATCCAGATAGCCCGGAAGGGCTGTGATCTGCTTCTGGTCCCCATGGTTGGGTCCTTTTCCTCTAGTTACTCTCCTGGTAGCCTAGTTGGTAGAGTGTCTTGCCAAACACTTCGGTCCTGTTCAGTTTCACCAGTTCTCTCGGTAACAATCCTTTACATAGTACTGTTGAAGATCTGTGCTACTTCTCTATTCGGGTCTTGTCAAGTGTGTTCTATCATTCTTCCCGGTTCCCTAGATTTACAATGATCTGGAAGCTTATTCGTATAACTTGTGCATCACACAAATGCTCTATAATCTTCCAATCCTGTTGGTACCACCAGAGTACAAAGATCTTGTTCTAATCATTAATCGGATAGCAGTAATATCGTACAGGTAGAATATTTCGAAATTCGTCACCAGTAGGTTTCGAACCCCCTACCTAGCCAACAAGTCACTTGAGAATATGCCAACTTAACTACTTCACTAAGTCACCATACCTATAAATTATACAATATTACAGGTATATACATAGTGATTGTTTCTATAATTTATATAAATGAGTAAATCAATTTTTTCTATAATAATTTTAAAAAAAAACAAATCTCATAAGTCTCATATATAACTTGTCTGCAATACTCATCATAATACGTACATATCTTCTCTCCAGATACATTTATAATTAGTATTTATTATCGATCAGCACAACTTAGTAGTTTATAGTCTAAATTATCACTCTGAGTCTAGATATTAGTATTCTTAAATATAAATTAAATTGATATATATAAAAACTATTTTTGTATTTATAATGATTCAAAGCTATTAAGCTAATTTTTTTTTTTTTTTCGGTATGTCCTGCTATTATTTTTATTAAGACATTAATTAAGTAAAAAAATTACAAAAATTCTTAACTATAGTTATTTCTTTGACCGCAACAAGTGACTCACTCGACTTAAAAGCCCAAGTACGATATCGCCTAGTGGCCATTTATCTCCCTTCAGGCCTCTAACTTATTAGAAGCATGAATCCTTTGATCATTGGTCAGTGCTACACACCATATCAGTATCATTTTTTTTTTTACAAATTGAAATACAGATACAAAAACAAAGAGCAAAAAAGAAAAAAAAGAGTAATATCTCGATGTCCAAATTTGATCTACCTAAACAACAAAAAAAACCAAAATAATATATATAGAAAAAAACAAAATAAAAGAAAAGAAAACAAAGATAGTACTATTAAACCCATGCCAGATTATAAAAATTATATAGTACTACTAAATAAACTAGTCTAAACTCTACGCTAGTTATTTATATCTATATTAGAATATATAAAATATCTATTCTTAAGTAGAGATCCAAGTTCAAAATTTCTTTTGCAGTCCATCAGGTTTTTGTCATGGTCTTCTGTAACGCATTCTTGTGCTTAATATAGCTTGTACCTGGGCAAAGTTAGCACATTAGAGTGCTCGGTATAAATACTGTAACTTTTTGAGGAAACCGATTATATGTTATTCATTCCAAAGTAGACATATACTCCTGTATATGCCTTTCTTTTTTCAGCAGTGATTGTTTTTGTCGATTCTTTGATAGGGGTATGCTAGATTTTTCACTTTTTGTTGAAATTTTGTAAAGAACATAGAGTGGGGTTTTGGTAAAGGGTTTCAGTTTGCGGGTAACCTTAAACTTCAATAGAGAGTGTGTTGAAAACTTGCTTGTTGTTCTTCTTTAGACCAACTATCTTTCACTTTATTAGCAGAAGCTATGCTTCTATTAAAATTTTTTGTACAAGGGCACCACCTTCTGCCAGTTATCTTGTATAAGAACACTTTTAACTTGCATGCTGAATATACAAAGGAGTCTAGAAGAGAATAATAACAGAAACCTTGATCTCTGTAAAAACCGTTATTTGTAGTTGTCTCTTCTACTTTCTCCAACAAGTTTTTCATTTTTGTTAATCGAAAGTTTGGTACAAGTGATTGTCAGGAAGAGTGTACAAATTCAAATATTGCTATAAGCTAATTTTTTTTATTAATCAAAATTACTTTTATGATAATATAATTATCCTATGCACAGTTTTATAGAATCAGTCTTTTTTATCACACAAGTTTTAGTAATTATTCATCAAGTATTGTTAAGAAGAGCTTTTCAAGTTGAATATTCCTTAATTCTGTATTTTGAGTTTTTATTTTGACAATTATAATATCAATGTTTATCTACACAGTATATAGGTATAAGTAATTTATCCTTAATAATCGATATCTATCTTTAAGACTATTCAGTAGTGCTGTATCAAAAATGTTGCAAGATTAAAATATAAATAACATACTATACTAATTAAATTACTTTATTAACTACTATAATTATTTTAACCAAGCCCTAATATTGTTAAGGCTTTAATCAAAGCATAAAAAAACTTGGTCCAAATAATCAGGGTTAATTGGTTTTATAGAGATAGTATTAGACTTAGATAAGCATTCTTTTATTCTTCATTTAGACAATTCACTTCTATTACTTTATTAATATTTTATTTTTTTTCATTAGTAGTACTGTAGCTATA